CCCCTTATCGACGTAGCACTGCAAGTCTGCAAACAGCAAGCATGTGAACAATCAATGAAACTTTTTTGTTAAAGATATTACCATTGTGTCTGGTAATAGATTGAAGTCGAATAACCTTTACACGCATCTCATTTGCGTGTTTCTGAACCTCTAGCTCAGAAAAGAAGTATTTGGCTAGCGAATCCTGTCCTTCGGTCTGCCATTCCAAATACAACCAGAAGTGACGTCTTTTTCATCACAATACACCGAACACCAAATGCATCTTATATACTGGCGTCTTTCAGGAGCAGTTATCCGGTGATTCACTCTTCAATCCTCTAACGCGTCGAAGGTGCTTAGCGTGGTACTGCCTCTATGACGAAAAACATCAGCTGGAATTCAGATGAGTCTCCCCCTGAGAGACAAGTTTGTATGGAAGTGAGTGTATATGTCGACTTTCATCAACGTTTGGTTCAATTAAATCATAAGGTTGGCGAAGGTGGGTGGCTAGGCCTACTTGACAAGTCCCTAAATGAAGGGTGAAACCGGTCGTGGGCTGCCAATTTCTCAAAAACCTTGTAAGTAGTGTGATATGTTGCGAAATCTCGAATATCCTACCACCTGAAACATGAAGAGATCTGAAGCAGCAAATTCGGTTGAAGGAGAACATCGTAAACGAGGGATTCAGCTGGAATTTTGATGAATCTCCCCTGAAAACCAAACAATAACTACATGATTGTGGTGGTGGAATCACCTTTAACATCCTCCTATTTTTCGTACTGTTTCTTATAAGACGGACAGGTGTTGCGGTTGGAAATGACAAATTTTTCGGATGACAGCTTTGAGTCAAGCCAGATACTAATCGCTTTGTGTGATGTGAACTAGACCTGTCCTGCGTATTTGTCCCTTCATTAAAAGGCCGACTAAATGTAACGACCGAAACTAGCATCCTCCGGTAGGTAGTCTATTCCGAGAAGGTCGCAGCTCTTGAAAGGAGTATCAGAAACTAAGCAACAGTGATCTCTTCTGACTATCAGTATCTGTTGAAGATGATTTGCAAATGGAAAGATGGCCCTAGAGTTGAAACTGTATACAGGTAATTGCATGGAATTATATTTAAAATTGGTGATGGTAGCGATTAAAGTTGTATGACATCTTTGATGGGCATTCTGGCTGGGTCCTTTGATTTATTGTGACCTCCATGAGTTGCACCCACGGTTGCACTCACAGCTATCCAACCCTGAATGGATTTAAGAAAGCTTTTTCCAGAAGATCTATTTTTGGATAGCTGAGTTCTTCTATGAGAAGTTTAACTGCTGGGAAGATTTCAACAGAACAGACATCGATGACCTCATTTGAAAGATAATCACAATTGGATGGATAAATTTGTTGTTTTGTGCGGTACAAGACCCCAGTCAGTTCGGTGAATGGATGGATTCATCCAGCCGATAAGATACGTAACCGTTATCAAAGTACACTTGCTTCAGGTCGTTAATCTCGTTGTGAGGAATTTTACCCATTAGCGGCACTTAAAGCAGTCTTTGCTTAGAGCTGTTGGTAATAACAATTTTCAGACAACTATCATTAGATTAGAGTGTAGAGATCTTACTTAGGTCATGGCCGCTCTTTGGGAGAGAGTATTAGGGGACAAGAACTTCTCTGTGGAACAGTCGGTCTACCGTTTCTTCCAAGATGCAATCGTAGTAACATATGTAGAGGTTATGCTGGAAACCTGCTACTTCGGTGATGCTCTTCACGCAAGGATGAAGTGCCTAACTGTGTGTACCTTAGATAATCTTCAGAATGCGACTGGTGAAATGGACAATGCCTATGGGTTTGCTCAACTCCAACATCTATCGTCCACTTGCAAACAGAGTTGTAATTATGCACTGCTGGGATGGATACGTGCGTCCACAATGCACTTGTTGAGCAAGTTATCCTTGATGAGCTTCTTGCTAAGATTTCGAAGGAAGCTACCGGGAATCACCATCTGCGATCTGTATAGGAAGGTACATAGATTTTTCAAGACTTCAATGGGGATTTCGTCCTGTAAGTAAAATCATTCTTTGCCGAGAAGCCGAGAAGCACTCTCCAGCTGTTTCATCCTTATTATGAATCATTAACAACGCGGATTTCATGAGATTCTGCCAGTTGGTGTTAAAACACTAAGCCGTTTAGCCACCAGCGACTGACAGCTCGTGTGATTTTCTCATGCTTAGGCAGGCTATAGTGATACTCACCCTTCTGTTAAGGAATTCACTTGCTAACTGGCTGTGCCTCGTTGACAAACCAGATGGAGAGTCTCGGTTTTTCCTAAATTAAAAGCTGAGTTATATGCTCCAAAATAGCGACCAGGATTAATTAATGCTAATTAATCTCGTGTGTAGTTGGTGTGGGGATGAGATAACTAAATATGTGATTCATGGTCTGCTCAGCTGTTTGCTCAGTCAGTCTGTCAAGTAATCCGTATATTTACTTGACCGAAGAGTCCGCAATCCGAGTCCAATAGCTATTATTCGTGAATAAGCCTCTCCCTACCAGGGACCTGTCCTGAATCAGATGTGAACAGTTTGCATGCTGATTGGCCATCTTTGGCTATCATCCTACACTGCTAACGGCTAGTCCATCTTGTTTGGTTACTTTTGAGAGACAGTGAGCTCTACGCTTCCGATTTTTAGGTGTTCTCTGGTAAAAAGTTATTACGATTCAAAAGATAGAACACCTAATTTTTCACGTAAGCAAAATTTTCCACTCTATCCTGGTGCTGGTAAAAATATTCCAGTCTATTCCTTAGTTTCAAAGCGAACAAGAAACGACGTCAAAATGAAACAAAACCGTGAAAACTTCATCCAATTTTTTGGAAAACTGTCATACCTACGATGACCATATTGTCTTTATTAAGTGTGAAACATCTCGCCAGGGCGTTTCCCGATGCCTAGTGGACTGCTAACTAATTTCTTGGGCTAGATTCCTTTGTCAGAAAATTAGGAATCTCCATATCTGTTTCCTTCTTTGAATAATTTGTAGAACAGAGGCTTCTTACAAGCAGAGCATACTGAAGCAGTCGGCTCTCTAACAGGTTGACAGTTAAATCAGAGTAACATATAACCGAAACACATTTAACGATCTTTGATGCAGAATTTTGAACGCTAAAACTTTAGTGGCATGTATTGTAACATCAATGAATTATCATGTCGCAAATTTTTCTTCCAGTAAATGATGTCAGCTGAACCTGTGTAAGACATCATGCGTACATTCAAGGATAACATGGCATGCTAATCAGAGTGATGGGCAGCTTGAGACCTAAACAGTCTTCTGAGATTTGGTGATAACACCGGAGACTAATGTTCGTTATAATGGCATCCTGGACTACAGGCGCCTGCAGGATGCCACAGAGGTTTTCACTTCAATCTCCGTTACTATCGTGTCCTGGTTATTCGGCGTTCGACATCTACACTCCCGTCACTAGGTTCCGCACGCGTCATTGACGTTTCAACCGATCAGGGAAGGTCGCAGCTTACTCATCACATTCGAAATTGGCTACTTTGACGTGAGTGGACGCTCCAACGGTGAGCTTCCAAGATCGTGACTAATGCGCAATGTGGGTGTACGAACCGACAATTACGGAATGGCATGTCACGTGTTATCAGACACCAGTCTTGCTGTCTGCCTGATCACCTGATAACCTGAATGAAACAACTTAACCAAAAACAATTCCAAAAGCTAGTTCGGAAGCTCACAATTTCTAGTGTAACTTCAGCCATCATTCGCGCCAGCCCATAGAGTAAAATTGTATGGAGCAATAACATATGGTATTGTTCGTCCTAAAAGAGATCGAAATCTTTCTAGAAAACGCCCTGCCAGAAAGACCCAACAACGCACCATAGGGTAGGCAGCGTTAAACTGGCAGTTGACCCAGCAGGAGTTGTCACGAGAAGAGACTGCCACAAAAATAAATGGTGGAGAGTACAGCCAAAAACCGAAAAATCTTGCAACCAAACCACATACAAAGAAGCAAGAAAACAGAAAAGGTCATGGTAAATTTCATCAAAGGTTAGGATATCAAGACACCAATACCAGATTAATCGAAAGGGCTTACTCTGTTTGTGAAGCAAAGCAAAAATCCTTAGTAACTGGTTTCTACGACCAAGAACAGCTTGTTAACTAATCTCGGTAAATGAGAGCTGTCTATTACCGTGCACTGCGTAGTGAGATGTGCATTCCTCGTTTCCGATGGTGACGGTTTGATAACAGGTTGGGGCAAGGGGTTGTCATAAAATGGAAATTCCTATACTGACACCTCTCAAAACAGCCGCTGCCATTATGGCGAAAACTTCTTATACGTGAATATTTAGCGCTCATATTCTAATAGGTCGTTTCATCTGTTTACGGAGCCTTTCATCCGACAAAATTCTCTAGACGGCACAGATTGCCTCTATTAATTCATGACAGTAAATCAAGAGTTGCAGTTTGATGAATCCAAATACCTCCTCTTGTGGGGCAGGCTCGATTTTTGACCGATAATTCCTGGTGGTAAGCAATCGTATTTTTGCAAATATACTTTTGCGAACAGTACGTACATCCGGGGCTATTCGAAGCTGGAAATCAAAGTGGAACATCAAGTCAAGAACAACGGCCGTCCAAAAATAGGAAGTCATTTAATTTACTTTTAAGACACATCAAATGAAAAGCTTTGCTAACTATCAGGCAAGACGACGAGACTGGCCTTCTTGGTCTGATCGATTCATGGCTTTGCATCGCCATTGGTACATGTGTTTGCTTGAGCTTGTGTGTGCCAGACTCCGTATAAAGGAGTGTATTGACGTGATGAATTGATTCATTATCACAATATACGCACGTAGGGTTGACTAGTGAACAGTTTCTCTTCTCAGAGCCAAATGACACACTATGAAGCGTGATCCATGGAATTTTGTTCCTTATTTGTTAAATTGCTAACTGTGACTCAACAGAGGAGACATCATCCGTAGATCACTGAAGCTGCCTATCTGGATCAGTCAGCAATGACTGAAGACACTTTGAACAGTGGCGTTTATAAATCACATCTAACTATCAATGGCTTCATGAACAACGTGATCACAAATGGGAACCTCCCAGAAAATAACACAGGGGCTGACCATATCGAACATGAACCTAGTTTTACAAAGACATCTGAACCATTGACCCAGGGAGCACTACCATGGAATGGAGAGTTACCAGGACAGAAACCAAAGGAACTGCGAGATTCAGTGTTTGCTTCGGCAGGCACTCGAGAAGGACATACAAGTTGCAGTATACTGTCCTTGGTGAATATGTTCCCTTGGGGTCCTAGTAAAGAAAGCACAACACCCACCAGGATTTGTACCGAAAATGACAACAAATTTCACGGGGGTTTGTGGAAATCGACAGATGGAACAGAAGAGAACACCTCTCTAAATGGAGAACGCATGCAAGAAAATTACAAGGCGCTGCCCAAAATGCAGTCCAGTATCAAATTTACTCCTGCGATAGAATTACCCTTAGGTGTTATTCCACTGCGTGCTTCAGATTCGGTCAAACTTCATCGACAGACTATTCACTTAACTCTGAGTGGAGAAGCAAGAACAAATGAAGCAAAGCACGCAGAGAAGGAAGTGTGTTCAGTGACTGAAAAAATGGAAGAATCGAATGATTCACGGATGATAGACGGTTTTGACAGACCGGAGGACACTTCTCAGATTACTTTGGAAACAGTCACTTCGAGCCGGCCTGCATCTGTCCCATTCACCAATACGAGCGAGTTCGAAAGCATTTCGGACACAAGAGAACGAACACCGACACCGAAATTGAGAACGCGTAAAATGAAAAGCCGTTCACTTTCAGAAAGTATGAGAGAACTATGCAGTCAAGATTTAGATCCTTTACATAGACACAAAGCGGCTTCCGCAACTCCGTGTGTTGGTCTACAAATGTCGCAGAAAACTTCTAGAGAGTCACCTGAGTCTATAAAAGTGTTGGTAGTGAAGAAAAACGCGAGTCAATCTTCTGACTCAGTCTCAAGTAGAGATCAGTCATTTCCTCGGCCACCGGAAACTCACCATTCTATCAAACCATCAAGAAAACATCTGAATTATTTCAACGAAGGGTCACCCGAGATAAGGTCCATTGTTCCTATGCCTTTTCGAACATCCTTTCCTAATCAACTGCAGATAAGGAGCGAAATCGTTGACACCAGCAAAAGCAACTTTGTGTTAACGGTGGATGCCAGCAAATCGATGGGTGCAGATGAGGTGCGAATTACACCTAAGCCACTCACCCCGATTAGGTCCCCTCGCCCTCGCATCGTGACCATCCGGAAAGAAGGGCATGGTCCTAAACGAGAATGCAGCCTAGACGCACATTTGAAAAGTTTAAGATCGAAAAACTGTGATTCTCTACCGTTAGAACCATTGGTATTAGACAGACGGAAAAAGCCCCCCAATATTCAAAATGGCTTTAGAAATCAGACGGAGAACCATCACTCAGCTCAAAGAACGTACTCGTATCCTGGGCCCAAGTACAAATGTTACGCCGCTCTTGTCTTGGATGAACCCAAAGTGATTCGTCAACGGAGCGCCAGAAGACTGGCCACGTGGGATGCTGTCACACAACAAGGAGGTAAGATGTCACGTATTTTATTTTGCTTTTGCTAACTCATCAATCAAATGTCTGTTACTTGTGCATAAAAATGCACACATTTTTAGGTACCCTTTTTGACTAAGGAGATACCACCAGAAGAAAATATTTAATAACGACCAGATAGATTACGTCGAATGTTCTAAAATACACTGATTTGCTTATGTCGTTGGTATTGAAAACCGTTACATATTGCGCATTTATTACGTGGTAATCTGACTGGGAATTCGGTCAGTGTTTAATTTCTGGGGAGCGAAACGACTAAAAGTTGACGACGTAAAATCTACGGTTGTTTAAATGCACTTAAACATCAGTGACCTTCACCATAACATTTCGAAAACACCAAATGAGATGTAACTGTAACATTTCATTCCACACAAAGGCATCTTGACTTCTATAGATTTTCAGCAATGCGGCAAAAAGCTGATTGCTCATCCAAGGTTAAGCGCAACTCTGAGCTGGACCCAGGCTAATTTTGGAACAGTGGAACGGGACATTGCTGGCTCAACAATAGATTACGCCGATTTCACAGCCCACATTTATTCTGGTTTAATTAATCTCCTCTAACTTTTTGTGAGGTGTATTTTTCCCTGATTGACTAGTAACTCTGTCCATAAAGATGCCCAACATCTACGTTATCGCAACTCTGAGCGTAACAATTTGAACAGTGTAACTTGGCACGTGGGCTCGGGCAACTTTCAGAAGTGTCGTAAAGAATTTTGCCAATTCCCACTTATCAGATTCTAAGGTGCGTTCACTTTTCCTAAGGCAGCACTTGTTGTGAACTCATTAAGAGACAGAATGACCGAAATAATGTAATTACAGAACGACGCTTCAATGAGAACAGAACTGTGCCAGCCTGAGTCAGTGAGGTACTTTAGGGTAGCGTTGGTTTCATAAGTCGAAACTAGTTCATCGTTTTTGCCTCGAAGGTTACTTTAAGTTTGCTGACCTGAAATGTACCTTCTACCAGTGAGAACCGGATTTTGTCTTCGTCAATACGAACTTATGTGAGGAGCTGGTTTTCCCATGTTCATCAAGTAAATGCTTTGCAGAGCGGCACCCATGTGAATCTCGCTAAGTTTGGAACATCAGAAATAATCATCAAACTCCCGATCACCACGTGAGCAGATTCGGTTCTTCGGACCAATCAAAAATTACTCCGTTCCTATGCTGTAATTTTTAGTTTTGTAGAAAGCATACAGTTCTTCGTTGAGCTAAAAACTCCACGAATCCTTTAGAATAAATTCACTGATGCATGAACAAATTACTTGTTCGCTTACTCTGCTGTCACTGGTAGTTTTTCTCGAATCAGATGCTACTCAGAAAATCCGCTTCATCCGAGAAATACATGAGTGAACTTATGCTAGTTCAAACGTAGGACAACGTGGGAACATGACTCAAACTGCCTCTACTACACTCTAGCTTTCGTTACTTGTCTACTTCTATAAAAGGTTTTTTATCACATCCTCGTGCATTAACCTTGAGAACCAATTTGAAAATTTCACTTTGCCTGGACTGGCTTCCATTGGAAAGGAATGGATGTTGCTGAAATAGGAACATTCACCCCAGTATGACGGTTTTGTTCTGCAAACCAACAAACCAATAGGTCGTGACTTTTGAGTATTTATTGCCACCAAATAAACTCTTTCCAGTCACACTCTTATTAAACTTTTACCTAATAATCTTCAAATTATAGGGACTGTCAGCTTCTGGTTCATCACTAGTGCACCTTATGGCAATACACTTATCCGCAATTACTTATCGTTCCCTTGTCGCTCATTCGGGGTCATCTTGTGGTCCGTCAAACACTATGTTACTTTTTGGTTTGCTGAGTAAGAAGTCACACAGTAACGCTATTTGATGCCTGGCTTCATGTATTCTAAAAGCATTACTGCGCTTATCTCAGGAGTGGAAGCTGCATTAAGTTCAAGACCGATTCCTTAGCCTATACACTAATCAAGCCGACTTACTCTACCCCTAAGTGTTTCTGTCCTGTAGAAAGAGTCAAGTTAAACCACGGACTATTATGGAGTGTTTCTTAATTGTCATAAGGAGGTGCCGGATATGTAGAACTCATGATTTGACTAATTTGTGTGGGTCGTCTTGTTGTACGGCTGCGCGAACTGGCCGTAGTGCATCGGTTTACTTTGGTCTTGGATATCTACTGCGCACGAATGACCACTTACACCAGAGAGTGTGCTGTTTTCACCCTTAAGCCGGGTGACAATTCCTGACATGGCTCAGCAAAATGAAATTAGTCCGGGTCCAAATGAGTATAATGGGATATCGGCGAATTCCTGGCTATCGGCCGAACGGCTGTCTTCGCATGAAGATGGAAGCTTAATAGGGTTAGGCAAGCATGACATTACCGTCCAGCAATTCGAAGGCGTGCGCACTATGTTCTTGACCCTCTTATTGAGGAACAAAATGTTTCCTAATATCTAATCTTAACCCCTTCACTGTTCTTTCACTAAAAATCCTTTCCTCGTGATATCTAAGTGGCAGCATTTACTAAAATGGTGTGTTGTTGCCACCAGTAATGATGGTGGTAATTATGATGATGATGATGATGATGACGACGACGATGATGATGATGATGATGATGATGATGATGATGAAGATGATGATGATGATGATAAATGTGCTGTTAGTGGTGTTGGCCACGAAACATCTCTGATGATGAGAACGTATGTCTTGAGCGGCAAACACTCTTACAGGTAAGCAGTGTTGCGGCACCAGATGTCTTCTAATCTTGGTACCCCCCTCAATGAAAACTAGAAATCTTGCCTTGTGAATTTCATCGGTACAGATAAACTGCACAAACAGGTATTACAGAATTAAAATGTTTCCTGAATAAAACAGGCCTTAGTAACAATCGATTGGGATCCAGATACCTGAACAAAAAATGGCAAGGACAATAAGAGCCGGCTGCTTTCACTTGCTGTCATGTCTCGAACATGTCACCGTGTGATGATCCTGAATTGCAGCGGAAAACAACGCTAAAATTCCGAAACGTGAAAAAGCCTGCTTTACATAATTCGGTCATCTTGGTAAAATAGTTGTTTTCAAAAGTCCTGGTTTCACATTTCTGCATCCTTACATCTCTCACAATCATTAGCTGGTTGTCCAGAACCACCAACCCATCGCTATGCACCGCACGCGTCTTAACAACGCACTGATGTCACCTCAATTGGTGATGAAACGCTTGCAATCGAATTGCGCAGCTCAGTGAACAAGCCAATGACCATTATGCTACCTACGCTATTACAATTTTCCTCCATAGATTAACCGGTTTGGCCCGACTTTTTGGAGAAGAAAGCAGTAACATACGAGGAGATTTGTGGGTTCAGCAATACCGTATCTTTATCACTGAAGATGGTCATATTATCTAAACTTAATGTACTACGCCGACTCTGTTTGGAAAACTTTGCCTTGCGCTCCTCAACTCGCCTTTGACAAAACGGTTTCTGTTTTACCCTCAAAACAAAAGAGAACTACTCAAGTGACCCAATTATGGTACAAAGTGTGTCACAAACTTCTAAACACTGCTCAGTTAATAACCACCTAGATGGATCATGAAAATTTGTCTATGTGAGTGTGTTATTTTGTGGTGAACCATAAATCCAACATTATTTTCACCCTTTGAAGGGTGAGAGAATTTAGTTTAACAGAAGAGGGAGATCTGGCGTCAGAAAACTCCGTAATCCAAATAGTTTTGCATTCTTTCACATGAAATTTAGGCTTTCACTCTTCGAATGCAAATGAGGCAGACTCATCATTCCTATTTTTACTGATCATACCGTCCATGTGGGTGACGATAATTTGGCATTCCGCTATCCTCAGTGGGAAAAACTCAACATAGGTGGCGACGGGACGTTTTTTACACTGACCCTATCCACCCCACGATATCTTGTTGTGAGGTTTACGGCTGGGTATCCACCTCTGCCCTCCTTCACACCGTGCTTGGCCTTATCCACTTGCCAACTGTATCAGAATGGTTCTTGTGCCTGAGGATTGCGGCACTCCATTCTGTGGCTATGTTTAAGCTGAAGCCCAAGAGAACTTTCGGGGCTCACTGTAATTTCGAGCACTTCTCAAAGTCAGAGTCTAGTAACAGCGTTTGCGTATGCTTTGATGATGATTGTATCCTAAGGTGGGGGGTCAGGAAATAAGTTTAATATGCCAGAAGGCTGCCTTTTAGAGGGAAAATCTTCAAGAGGTTTACTATGCACTTGGTGAAAAAATTGCGTTTGCACCCTGGAGATGAGCCAGATCTGTCTTTGCTACACCTTACTATGTTGTCAATCAGTGAGTTGCACTTGATCCTGGTGACAGCCTTTGTACAGTATGTAGCGAAATCGCCCAATATTACACATGTACGAATCAAACTCTCATATGTCCTGCCCATTTGGCAGGTTTCACCAAGAAGCTCTAGTTCTCTCGGTGCGTTTTATTCTAGTCAATTCCCTAGAATACTATAACACTGTTGAACTGATTTGAATATAGACAGCTATCTTCTGACGTCGATGCAACTTTTGGTGTTGTGCGAACCACACCGACAGCATATAAATCAGGAGTCAGCCTAAGCACACTGAGGCTCGAAATCAGTGTTATCTCTGGCAGAACTCGTTTCCTACTCAAGCCCAAGTGTTATTGCCAATTATCTGTTTCTCTGCGGCAACCGATTTTCTAGTTAAAATTCTGAGAAGGATTTTGTAAACAAGCCGAACTCGGTTGTACCTTCTACCGTCCTCTGTATCGTTCGCATGAACAGTCATTAAACAAAAGGTGTTTGTGAAAGTTCCAGAAAGTGAACATGAGAAACTACGCAGCTAAATCTCGTGTTTAGAAAACGTCACGCTAGTTCAAAGTCATTGCGTTTTGATATTTCCAAGCAGGCAACAGGTCCTAGGTGTTTTCGTCTACCCGTTCGGAGTAAATATCTGAAGCACAAATTATGGCTGAACAAATCACTTCGTAGACACAAACTTGGTGGTTATAATGGATGGGCTGAACAGAGCCCACCATGAACCCATACTTCATGTAGATGAACTTGTGTTCACAAAGTAAATGGAACGGTTCTATATCCGGTCGGATATTTCACAATCCACTCCCGTTATAACATGACCACTGTTTCGATAGACACACTGACTTTCACAAAAACTTGGTTTTCAAGGGAGATTCAACTGAATTCCAGCGGAAATTCTCGTTCGTGCTAATCTTCAACCGAAGTTGCTGCACAGAAACTGCTGCACTTCTCATTTTGAGCAAAATAGCCGAGATGCTGTAGTATAATCCGGTGAGGGAAACTACTCATAAGGTTGCGAAAAACTCTTATAAATCCCACAGTAAATTTCATCCGTCCTACTGTGACCCATCAGCAAGGTGAAGTCCTAGAGTTTTCGCAAACTTTATGTTTCATTTGAATAGGAATTGCACAAAAGCCGATAATTCATTAAGTTGCATACCAATTTGGTGTTCACGGGAGGCTCACCTGAAAACCAGCCATTATGCATGACATTCGATCAAAGAGTGATTCACTTGGGCTTTAGGTGGGTCTCCTGGTATCCAAATAAGTGCATTTCGCTAATTTCGTGCAATTTGGGATCGAATAGAACATAAGGTTGACGAAAACTCGGAAACTGCTCCTACCTGATGAGCCCAAATAGTAAGGAGCAAAACTGAACTTTCAGAGAGTTTTCAGGACCATCGTGGTTAACTTCCTCCATAATCACAGTTTTCTTAAAGTGATGTCTAGAACAGTAATCGTGTTGGAAACTCTCATTTAAAATCGATGGATAGATTTTTAGGGATGTCCAACCTTTTATCACACGCATTACTAGATTCATCGACTCGCCTTCTTACATCCTAATACACCAAAGAAGAGTTTTGCTTGGTAAATGTGAGACGGTTTCGCTTTTGCCTCTTGAGTAAGTTTGAATAAACTTACCAAATGGGGATATACACTTAAAAACCGCACTTCAAACTGCAATCCTTACGAAAGCCGAATGCTTTACTGCTGACATAAAGGAATATGAAATTTTTTGCAGCGTCCCAAACCAAACAGTATATTTGGCATCAAAACTCTTTTGGCATTCTTATGCTGTGTTTTGGAGAGATTCTAGTTGCTTTTTTGATAAGAAGTTTCAACACCCAAAATCTCCAAAACGATTTTAAGGTCAGTTCAGTTAACCGTTGTTTAGTCTAGTCAGGTATCTAGTGCAAACGATCATTTTTGCAGTATGTGTTTGAAATCGTATTGGCACTGAATCGTAGAACTACAACCTTTGATAGGGTTTGGCGTTTTGCTCCTAATTCGTTTTTTCTAATGAATAATTTTGTCATGTTGAAGTTGCGAGAAATTTTGAGCTGGGGTATTTCGGTGGTTAAAGCGCAAGCTTAGTGACAGGAAGGTCTGAAAACATTTTGACTGCTTCTGTCTAGAGTTGGCAGTGCCCGGCAATATCCAAGCTCCGTGCTCCCTTCGTAAGGCATGACAGCTAGGCATAAAAGGAATTTACAGCTGAAAAGGCATTTTGTTGTCCAATGTGACCTTGGCCAGATGAGGAGCTCCTCACATACTCCGATTCTTTGCTTCTCATGAAAATTGACTGTGCGGCTGGGAAGACTCAGTTGGTGTCTAGCCCGTTTGAAGAGTAGGCTTCAACATAGATTATTGATATTTTTTATTTTCCAAAGGTTTCCAGGAGAACACATTGATGAGGGATTATACGAATCGGACTCTACGCTTCTTAGAGGTACTGTCTGGAACGGCTCACAAAGTCACGCAGTGACTAGTCTCAATTCTTGGTTTGGAACAACACTACCAAATTTTTCAGCGACCTAATTTCACTCCAGACCGGTTGGAGAGGCAGAAATTTGTATTCGGGTGTTGTTGAAATTCAAGCTGAAATGTGTAATAATATGTCAGCATGAAGTGCTGAATGGGTGTAGTTTAAGTTGATCGACGGCCTCAAAGCGCAGCACGTGTCGGTATCATTCTTTTCAATGGCTTTGGAGCATCTCAAAACCTATAAGTACAGCCTGCATGAAAATAGCAAGGTTTGGAGACCAGGATAGAACAACAAAAGTCACGAAATTTTGTTGGACTATGGCTTTCCATTCAAAAGCTAAAAGTTTTATACTTTCAAACGGAGTGAACACGTCAACTGAAGCATATCATCCTTCAAGTATTGAGTGTGCTCGTAACACCTCTGTCTCAACTTTTATCTTTCCTCTATACTCGTGCTGTTCCCGAATACCAGCTGTCATACTTCACTTGTCAATTTATAACTACTGTTATGAGAGAATGCTTCACTATATGAAGTGGGTGCTGTGGATGACAGACATCGAATACATGATAGTAAAGCAAAGAAGGTAACGGGAAAGCCTTGGGAAACTGACCAAAGTTTAATAAGACCTTATGGTATGACAGCGAAACCCCGTAAGATACCTTCCCTATTTTCCTCCAAGACACAAGTTCCCAATCAAGAAGATATTTTTCATTGTAGTTAAACACTTTAGCCAGCTTGATCATGTACGTGAGTGAGATTAGAGAGGATAGCAAAATGGTCTCATTAACTGAACACTATATGTACACAACCGTCAAGAAGATCTCCTTTCTTTTGCATAACCTCCCGCACAACAGGAGGATTTTAACCTCGCTCCTGGGTTTTCTCTATAGCACTGAGTGGGTGTACTTAAATTCGTTGGTGATTGGGATAAAAATAGTAAGCCTGCGTTACATCGGCAGTCTTTATGACACCACTCTCACGCTTTGCCGTACGCGGACTTCTGTAGAAGAAATTCAACTATAATTTCTGTTAGCTATCCAACACGCCAATGAAGCATCATTGTCAACATTGACGTTGTTATCTGTGATGATGTTGCTGATGCTATCCAGTATCCGTTACACAAATCAGCTGTTGTCACGTCAAATGATTCACTATTGCTTTCTATGGAAGCTTGTTTGCGTAATCGAAGAACTTGGCGATTTGACTTCTAAATCAGTTAACACACAAAAGAGAGAAACCGTACTTGTTGCTGTGAGCAAGATGTGTCAAATAACAAGAACAAATAAGCATGCCATGAGATACTGTGCATCACGTACTCTGCCTAACGTACGTATTCATCGTCTAATTGCTTTCGCAGACTCGTTCTCGTTGGCTCATGCCTGTCGTTTCGACGGACGCTACTCTCAGACATCTATTTGGATCTAGTTGTATCAGCCTACGCAAACGAGTTAGTGGGAGTAATGTTAATTTTGAGAAAATGAGTAGGAATGGTCGACGTAACAACTATAAAACTCTCTTACGACACTGTGTCAAAGCTTGAATTACGCATGTGATCAGATAATCATTTGTAAGTGACAGTAGACTTTTTTTGAAAACTTCCACATAGGACTGAATGTCTGCGGTGAAATATGCAACTCCTTACTTGGGGATCACGGTTGGGGCCTGCTATACGTTAAATTTGTGGGGATTCTGTTTTGGTTACTGTCAGGTAACCGACCATGGAATGTGTTTATTACAAGTTAACTGCTTTGCAGACTTAGGAACATAGCAAAGGCTGAGCCGCTTTTACGCAAGATTGATAGTTTTTTTAACCTAACGGAAAAGCAGCTGGATATTGTGGATTGACAGAGCCAGAAAAATTTACTAATGTACCAGCTAGTAATGTGAAATAGCACCGTTTTCATTTTTGTGTGTAAAGCTTGGGTAAGACTAGCATTTAGCCTTTGTACGTATATTCATAAGATGAAGAGTTTGATAATCATCTGTGAAAGTTGGCTAGCTCAAACTGTACGTAGAAACTGATCACTTGGGATAGATTGAGTTCCAGAAAAAGTGGAACGCGTGAGCTTCATTCCGCTGTAAATGTTCGCGTTCTTAGATAATGTGAAGATTAGAAACTAGTGTTCACTCATTGTTGCCAGGTAATAATCAGCTCAGTGGTTGAGAAGCAATCTTACTGATCGGAAAACTAAGTGGTTCGAACCTAATCACTGTCTATCGAATGCTCTTCCGTAAACCTGAGCGACCAGTTAGCATCTCTTCGATCCTCTGAGGGACTTTACGATTAGGTACGGGTGGGTCGCTACACTTGAACGATTGTTTGATTATTATCATTATTACTGACACTTATGGTTTTCAGTCACTTCCTAACTCACCAAACCGTTAGTTAAGTCGTCAAACTCAACAGAGTGTGGATTCGGTCACTTGGAATACCAAACGGTTTCTCCGTTGTTGTCCTACTGACAACACAAACACCACCATTTACTTAGACATGAATCACGCAGCGTGAGAAAAACACAGAGATTCTTCAACTCCAATAAAGCACCGTTCCCAATAACATGACGTAGAAAAGACCGAAATCCAGATAAGAGAGTGAGTTGGCTAAGTCTCACCATGAGAAACAGATTGCCTCCAAGGAGATGCGCATCTAAAAACCACTGTGGTTGCACTACTTATAAGGTTGCTGAAAATTTTTCGAAAGCCCACAACCGGTTTCGCGCTTCTTGGAGATCATCAGGTAGGGGCAATCCCCGATTTTCCGTCAATCTTATGTTTTACTTAAAACCAAATTGCACGATGCTAGCGAAATACACTCATTAATGCAGACCAGTTTGGTCCTGCGAAAGACAGCTGGGATCTAGATGAGTCTCTCACAGAACCAAGTTTGTTTGCAAATGAGTTCATTTCACCAGTGTGGTTATTCAACCCGTGAGCACCGATAGAGGTGAAAAATGCAGCTCTATCTATTCGTTTGAGGTGACTACAACAGGTAACCGCTGAGAAACTGTTGATTCGGACACGGATAATACTATGGTTTCTATTGAATTCATGCGAAGATCTACATAGTTCAACTCTAGGCGACAGGAATCACCCAGTCAACGAAGCTGACAAGCTTTTTCACGCATCGAATTGTGCTCGCGCTCAGTTTTTCCAATTAATAGCTGCATTTAATGT